AATAACCTTTGCCGTGTCATTTTTGAGTGACCTGGTGGCATAGTGCGTAAGAGGTCAGCTTCGACCACGACTTCCGAAGGTGCCGAGTTCGATCCTCATGACCGAAGGTTTACCATGAATTTACTTCAGCAAGGAATGTGCTACACTTTGCTTCAGACTGGAGTTTTCGATTGATAGAACGATCGATTCATAACTTAGAGGTACTGGATTCGAGCCCTGATCGGGATCATTCGCTTTTCTTTCTTCAGGTTTATAAACGACTTAGAATATCGAATGTTTGGTACATCGCTGCTGTCGAGGCGCTGTTTGTAAAATGGGGCACTCCTGCCTTATAGCATGGAAATGAAGATTAGCACCTCCACCAATAACTTCATAAAAACAGGGGTGCTGGAACTGGCCCTGTCATATGATCTTAAGGAAAACGGACATTCCAACAGTTACAAGCATTCCTTTTCCTTTCGTTTTTGTGTCAGTTTATCTAAAGCAGTTTTAAGATCAGATTTAAAGTCTATTCATTGCCCGGAGTAAAAGTTTATTATAAGTCTACTTGTCATAAAGATTTGTTGAACAGACCTGCAACAGTTGGTAATAAAAGTTTTAAAATATTTTATCTCTGATTCTGTCGGAGATGATGGTCGTGAACAAAAATCACATTCGTGAGTAAATTAAATTTTTAATAATTCTATGAGCTGTTACTGGAAAACTGTTTTTGATTGTTTATAATTTCAACGTTAAAACCTTAGCCTTATGTAGTTGTGTAATCATGTAAAAGGTTGTCAGTGATGATGGTTACTAATGGTGATTGCGTTGTTTGGGTAATACCCATGTCTCTTCGGCTTCATTTTATGCCTTTTTATCTGGCCGATACAATTTCTGTCGCAGACACAGTGCGCATTTACTTTGCTGTGCATACGGATTATTTCACCCGTGCTGGGAAATCTGTAAATTACAGCTCAACTTCAGATCAGATTCTTGGACTGGATGGTTCCTTCCATGTTGTTGATAGTAGTCTGTTAGTTACCATTGATCAGACTAGTGACTGTTTGTAGAAATGTTGCTGTACTGCATGCATACTACTTCATCTATCGTTCTCCTTCTCATCTTTATCATTTTCCTTTGAAACTGAAACGATATCGTAAAAGCTTTAAATTTATGCCGCATTTTTTTATTACAATAATTTTTCACATTCGCATCCACTGTTCTTTTTAACACATTTCTCATGCTCATTATTATTGCTTTTTCTGTCTTTACCTTCTTTGTCTGCATCTAAGCTTTACCCCTTTCTTTTTCTTACTCATTTTTACTCTTCTTGTTCATGTTTATGTTCTTAAGCTTTGTTATCTTTTTTTTATTCGTCATTTTTTCATCTTTACATACTTTGATATGTTTTGTTGTTTATTTTTTGGATCTTTATCCTTATGTTCCTCATTTTTGTAAGCTTTCTTCTTTCGCAGCGTCCTATGTGATGTTTTTCCTGCTTTTTCTTCGTCTACATCCTAAATTTCGCCGTTGTCATTATCTTTCTGATTTTATGTTTTATTTAGTTTGCGCATTATTTTGACTTCTAATCGGCTATTAGTAGGTTACGAACAATTGAGGCTGTGCAGTTGACAGCATGGCAGTATGTCTGACACTCTGCTATGATCATATCACAACGCCATGTTGTCTGCATTACCCGTTTATCCGTTGGTTTTATCGATTCACAGTGGGGTAGATTCTTTGATCAAAAGAATTAGCATTCAGTAAAGCAAATTGTTCATTTGAACTTCAGTGCCAAACTACAGTCATTATGCCATTATCCACCCATTTTTCTCCCATTGGCTTCTTTTCAACCTGATTCTGTTTTTATTTTTATTTTCATTTTCATTCTCTCCTTTCTTACATATTTCTTTATATCATGTTCATCTCTTCTGTCTTAAGATTTTTTCGTTTTCTGCATGTTTACCTTCTACGCTATCTACCTTCTTAACAGCGGATCACGTTGTGTTTGTGGATTAACGTATTTATGACAAATTCAACTTTTGATGTCGTAATCTTAGCTGCAAGCAATTATTAATGCAGCAATTATTAATCTTAGCTGCAAGTAATTATTAGGTTGTAGCCGGATCCTTGTCGAGGAGGTTTCATTTATCAGCAAACCTATTACCTCGTTCGTGTGGATAGAATGCTTTCGCAGGTCTCACATCAGTGGTGTTTCAGTGATCTCCAAACTACAGGCTATTAAAGAGCACTGTTTAACTTTGTTTAATGTAGTTCAGTATTATTTTGTTGTTATTAGACTGCGATTTTTCTGGGTGCATTTACCTTTTAGAAGTTTGTGATACTTTGCTGTGATATTATGATAATTTTTATTTGCTTTTCTTGAAAGCTGTTTTTTGCATTTTGCTATGCTTAAGGCACTATTCAAGCAAGGAAATGTTCATTTCAGTCTAATCTCAACAGAGAATTTTACCTTTGAATTTTCAGGCTGTCTCTCTACCGTCTTTGCCATTCTGAATGTATTTATTAAACTATTATTCGTTATTTTCATTTCTTTAACCTATTTCAATTAATTAGTATTAATTAACTTTATTCTCTTGTTTATATTGTTGAGATATGCCACTTCATTTCAGCTGTGCATTATCGGTTTTGGCTTATAGGCGGTGCAGTGATCGGGTGCGGTTCGCGTGGTCCAACCAATGTCCCGATTCGACAGACATGAAGGTAAATTCTCTCGTTTACAAAGATGTCGATTTCTCAGTTCTACCAACCTTTATTTCGTTTAGGTGTTTCTTGCGACTCCTGCGAGAGGGACAACTTTAGAGGACGAAGATATAAGTGCTTAGTATGCTTCGATTTTGACCTTTGCTCTCGATGTTATGAGTCAAAATTTCATACTGAATTTCACCGGGCAGATCACCCGATGCAGTGCATATTGACCAGATATGACTATGGTAGGCAGGAAAATCATGATTCTGTTATTATAATGTTTAAAGCTCAAAAATAGGTCTGCAAAGTATTTCAGTACTTCGATATCTGTCTTGTATTTATGCCACCTGTGCAATCATTCGTGCTTAGACACATTTTACGGGGGCGAGGCTGTCGAAGCTGGTGAAACCCAGGCATATGCATGTCCGCTTTGTGAAGAAAACGGATTCACGGAAAGCATGTTGCAGGAGCATATAACATCGCACCACGGAGAACATCACGCGGCCGTGCTGTGCCCCGTTTGTGCTGCAACGCCAAACGCTGAGTTGAATCGCACCATCGAAGATCTCGCCACACACCTTACAGAGGACCATTTGAGGTAAAGTAGTGGTTGATGAATGGTAAAGAAATTAGTGTTTGTTGTTGAACAGTAAGCGCAAAGTGTTCTCTAGCTAGAAGGCAGCGTTGGTTCACTCTTGTCACTAAATTCAGGTTTTATGGCATGAATGGTTTTACCAGTGAACATCTCATTTCATCGTATAAACATGTATCATTTCACAGGAAAAAAACCAGCAGTCTTGAATTGCATAATATTAAAACAATGTGGCTAACCGAATATGAGCAGAATTTCATCCGGGAAAGAAAAATAATCAAAATAAGTTAAGAGGGAGAATTGATAACAAGTTAGGAGCCGGAAGAACAATAAATATGAATAAACCGGCATTTCAGTGGTTCTAGAAACAACGAAATAGATGGATGGTGTTATTTGCCATAATTATGACCAATGCAGTTTCGTTGAAGCGTCAGTAGTTCTACTAAAGACTAAAGAACATTCACTTGAGTGTGATAGAGCCGTTGAAACTGCAGGTTATATAACAACGAAGACACACAAGTGAAATAATAATTGTTGTTACATTTGAATTTCATAAACGCGTCGCTTAGCAAGTGCTTTAAATGAGTGACAAAGATATTTTTAATTATGGAGATGAAATCACGGCTTAGCGTACAAGAAAAGCGGTGGTGGCGTCACTTGTGTGTAAGTGAAGCATGCTGACAAAAAAGAAAGCCGGCAACTGCTTTTAAAGGAGCGTATATGTTTCTTTAGGCTACCCGATGGCTTCTTAGTCTTTTCTCTTTAGGCTACCCGATGGCAATGAGACAGTATCATCTCTTTCGTTCCGTTGTTGAATGAAGACCTCTTGGCTTTTTCCACTAAATCCCATCTTTTGGAAGCTTGTGGTTGATTTCTCCTGAATGAAGCTGATTAGTTTTGCAGTATATGAGTATTGTGAATTGCATGCATTTCATTATGTTGAGAGACGCCATACCCAAGAGAATGTTGTTGTTTTTTCTGAGCCATAGAATGAGAACCCGCAAAAATACTCTGAGCTACAGCATCAGAAATATTTTGTATTGCACTCTTGCTCAGAAAGGAACTAGAAGTAATCATTTGTACCATGTAAACTAGGTAATCTAATATCAGATTCAGAGCATCAGTTTTGTGCAACAGGAAAACATAATCAATACGGCAAAAGGAAATCTGTATAACTGCAGAAACTAATTTAAATGCTGTTGTTTTAAAATTGTGTATGTATGTGCTAACATCGGAGGGCGTTCACCATTCTCAAGCCTAATTTTTGACGGTTTTATTTCAGATATAATTAGCCTGCAAAATGTAGTGACTTAACGGCGGCACTTCATTAGTGAATAACCAGTTTTAGATATTCATGATCTCACGCTGGTTTAGGGTTGAGACAAACAACCAGGAAGAGCAACGAAATTCGAGACCGGTTTCTCACAGCACCGGCCGACCAGGATTGGGCCGTACTGTTCGAAGAGGAGGTCGCCACTTGACTGGCTTAAGTTCGTTTGCCAGGGACTCTGTTGATCCTATAGCAGGTAGTTATTTTCTTTGTTTCCACTCGTTATGTACGTTTGATCTCTCTTTGCGAAATAATACTAATAAATTCAGACCAGTCGCTTTCAAAGTCAAGAACGGTGACTTGTTACTTATTTCAACGTTCTAAGGGATGCGCTACAGTTTCACATTGTTTCGGATGGTTCGTCGTAGCGGCATTATGGTTTTATTTCTTCCCATACTCCGATGGACTGTTATTGTTTCTTGATGCAGACCGAATTACCGTGAATATGTTATCCTATTACAGACCAGATATTAGACTGGAACATTAGACTAGTCTGAGCTAGTAAAGAACTAATATTATGTGTAACAGATGAAAAAGTTGTGGTTTTTGAAGTTTATGACGATCTGTATCGAAGAGTGTTTAAAGGCCTATCTTCGTAGGCCCCGTCTTTTTATTTCACTCCAAAATTTAATAGATCCTTATTTGTTGTTATACATTAATCCTGTATGCTGCTTATCGTAACTGTGCTTAGTTAGCTGATTCTATTATTTCTTCCATTTTATGGTGCCTTTTCGGTCGCTGCTAATTAACTGAACGGTGTGAGACTTTGTAGAACTACTTTCCCAGCTTGGCGGCATCCGACGTGCTGGCGCCAATCTGACGTCGGCTGTGTCCCAGATCCCGCAAATACAACAGCAGGTGCGACAGAATGCGAACCGCCGGACCATTCTGCAGATAGACCAGAGTGGCCCATCAGCTAGTACTTCTGTCCTCCTCCAAGCTCCTACTTCCGCCGCAGAGAAAACGGTTACCGTCGAGGCGACAGCCTCCGTTGAACCGTCATCCGGCTTTTTCTCTGTTAATGCCGAGGACCAAAGCAAGATGTTAATTACTAAGTGAGTGTTAAGCTTTATTTGGCTACTTTTTTTATTGTCATCATTTAATTTATTTCGAGTAGTTTATTTGTAATATGCCACACTTTAAGTTCAATTGTTTGAGTCTCATTTTATAGTATTGTTCCGTACTGGAAAACATTGGCTCTATTGTACTCTGATGTACTGGACAGCGGTTTGATGAGTTAACTTTCTCATTTGATACTTACTAGTTACGCGATTATCTTGTTATCATCTTAAGAGCCATAACATAATCGTTGCGAATCATCGAATTGCTAGACTGCTCTTTCATGTCCTTCCAAATGGTCGCATTACTTAGCACCATAAGTGTCTTAATTATGCACTGCGATAATACGTGTAACGAGCTTGTTTTATCCTGATATTATGTCTAATCATTTTTTGCATTTCTACTTTTTAAATATTTATTGCTTATTATGTAATTGCTCTGCTTTGTCTCAGGAATGCGAACCTTGTTTTTTTCATACACTTAAATATATCGAATTATATTAATTTGTGAATTTGGCGAAGAATCAGTTTGGATAATTAACAAGTAGCAAATATCGATGGTGACATAGGAGCCGTTAGTATTTCAGAAATCGAGATTCTTAATTTAAGCATGGGTTTAGGTAGCAAAACTTCAATACGAAGAAGTAATTCTTAATCATGTGTAGAACTTTCGAAAGCGTATTCTCTACTGAGCCGATTTCACAATATTTCATTTTCATTCCATCTTCCATCGCCGCTTCTCCTTTCGGGTCGCA